GAGATCCTCAAGGTGAAACTATTACTGCCTTTAAAAAAATACATTGACACTTTCACAAGTATAGATAATGTATTGCATCACAAATGCAGAAAAAATAAAATGAATGCAAAATAAATGAAGTTGCTGAAGCCTTTGCAGGAATGAAAGCAGTAGAGTTGGTATTGTTAGTATTTATTTTTCAACATCATACGCTTACCAGGAGGAAAAAATGATAGCCAGTTTCATTGGAGATTGTCCTTGATGAAGCAATTAAAATAACCCTGCTTTTAAATCTTGACCTCTGATTATGCACTTTGCAACATTCCACATGATTAAATGGCAAATATACATAAGATACTTATGCCCTGTACTGAAATTCAAGGGCTACCTCAGAGACAAAGATTGGTGCAGTTGTTTGAGTTGGGAGCTGAACTATCTGCATGTTGATGGGACACTATTTTTACTGAAAAGAATGTCTGAAAACTAGCTCTGATTATTGAGAATAAAGTATTTCACTAACATTTTCTCAAAAACAGACTAAGCCTATCATCAAAGAAAACTACAGCAAGTAGCATAATTTATTGCCAGTACTCTAAACTTTCAAACATGCTAGGATTTCAGAAAACATATATCTGCCATGTGAGCTTCAATAATTTTCACATCTCAGGATTCTTCTGATATTGGTGTTGATATTAATAAGTGTCACTTTTCTGAAATATGTCAACAATGGAAAATATTATATAAGTTCCGTGCCTAGTAGATTGTGTTATAAAATTTTGCCTAAGTAAAAGATTCATTCAAAATGCAAGAAAACGCAATGGATTTAAATTTAACAAAGTGAAGTTTTGTTATATTAGACAAAATATAATGTTGAAAATGTATTTGAGTTAAACGTTAAAATACTTAATCTCATTAGATGTAGCCCATAAATGTTGTTGACCAATTTTGTACTGCATATGGTACTTGACATTTATGAAACTATCATATGCTGAATTTGGGGGTAAAATTAAAGAATATTGGGCTGGGGATATAGCTTGGTGGTAAAGTGCTTGACTAGTATATGTGAAATCCTTAATTTCCAGCACTGTGGAGGAAATAATGCTCAGAATTATGTGAAAATCATATTAAATTCTCTTTCCAGCTCTGTATATCCTTGTAAGGATATACACTTAAACTGGATTAAAAATAAAACAAATATGACTATAGTTATCTCCTAGGGTGGTAGACATTAAAAATATCTGTAACAATGCAAAACAGTGTTTCCTCAGTATTTTGGAAAATACAGTATTTGTCATGAAAAATACATTACTATGCTGGAGTTGGAGAATCATCCTTCTCTACTATTATAAAAGAGATTGGTAGAGGCGGGAATTATCATTCAATGCTAAATCTAAAACTTCTGATGAAGTAAAGTATGATTGCAAAGACTTAAAATATTTCCTCACATACTTGTAAAATACAAAAGGAAAGAGTAATTATTTAGTGGAAAGATCAGTAGCACTTTGAATTGATTATGAAAGCTAGTATCACCTCTGAGGCACAGGTCAACAAAATGTATCTCCAAAAGTGATAGCATTAGATAGATAGTGTTCCTGTAGAGAAAGCATAGTCTAAATCAAGTCGTGAGGAAAATATTTGGCAAATATGTGAAAAATTCTTTGAAAAATACACCTGATGATATTCATAAATATCAAGCTCATAAAAGACAGGCCATAGAAATGAATGTACTAGGTCAAAACAGATGAAAGAGAAATGACAACTACCTGATTCTAGCCTGATTGCTGCTTGAAAGGGCATTACCATGTGAAATTGGAAAAAATGTGAACATAGTAAGCTACTTTGTCAATGTTATGTATGCTAAAGTTGGTAAGTGTACTATTATAGTAAGACTATTGTAATTCATAAGTTACATTATTGAAAATTTAGGGATATTTTTCTACACTTTCAAATGGTGTAAAAAATTTTAGACATGTATATATTTATGTAGACACACATGAATGATTAAACATGTCCCCAATTGGTAGAATTCTCACCCTGACTAATTATATATGCTGATTTCTGTGAACTAAGCAACTGCACTGAAGATAGCAGTGTGTAATACTAGGGTCATGCTTGGAATGCCTGTCATTGTGGTCCTCTAAACACGTACTGCTTGTCATATCATACCAACTACTGTCATACTGTCTCTCAAGTAAATGTTTGTTTTTAAAAAAAGGGTAATAAATGAAAATAGACAAAAAATGTCATAGGACTTTTCTGCTACAATGCTATATATGGTTAGATTTCTAAATTTCTGTGTAAATATATGTAATTGTTTACTCCTATTTTTTAAAATTTTTTTCATTCACATTCTGTGGGGATTTAAAGTTTAACATATCAATACTTGATGGAAAATAACTGTTCCATGTTATGTCTAAGATGTTTGCTATTCAGATAGATAGAGAGATTCAGCTCAACTGCCTATGTGGTAGGGTAATAATAATAAGCTTCTCTTCTGGAGGGTTAGCAACCTAAGTTTGCAGACCAAAAATTGGAGAAAAAGAAGGGATACAAGGACAGACAACATTTTGGCCCTAGCCTTTCAGAGTCAGTGAGGACTCAGGAGAACCTGTACTGTAACATCCTGTAACTCAGTTATGTCCCAAATTTACTAATCAGAGAGATTATGGGGCCACAGAGGAAGGTGATTGATGATGTAGCGTGTGCCTAAGGAGAGTCACATGGAGAGCAAACATTTTCTCAGGCTTTCACAGAGAACAAATTGGTCAAGCAATGGCCGTGACTCATCCACATGGCTGACACTGACAAAGGATCTACAAATCCTGAGGGGATTTGACTGACCTTGTCAGGTTCAGAAGTTACATTTCTTATTATATAGGTCTTGCTTTATCTTGGTCTTCACCAACCAGCAGAAAAATTAAAAACAAGGTATAAAAAGTAGAGCCATATTAATATGCTGAGCTATAAATGGCTCAAGTCAGCAACTTCTGACATTGCCAGTCCTATGGATAACCTACTACTATTATGGACTACTGGACTATATTGGATTATTTTGCTGAATTTACGCATCTACAATATTTAAATGGCAATGGAATACCCATCTGTGACAAAACTAAACAAAAAAGGGGATATAAATGAAGGACCATTTTGTATCTGTATATACCATATTTAGGATAGATATACAGCTACTTTCTCTTTATTCAATGAGAAGAAAGATTTGTATTAGTAGTGTTTCAACAGGATATCATGTCTGCATCTTGTACTATGAATAACCACTACAAAGACAACAATATGCAATGTATTAATTATTGAAACTGCCTTACTAATTGGTTTTGAAACTCTCATTGCTATTTGTTTCTCAATAAAATTAATTAAAAAATAAACATGTCCACACAGTTAAAGACATATCGAGGTTGCACATAAATGACATTTTAAAATGAGTAAAATATTAACATTAGATGTGTCTTGGTAAATAGTAGTCAGATGATGCTTATATTTACTCTTATTACTCTTATTTCCAAAAGGAAATTAGCTTATTAAATGTAGTTACTTTTTAAGCTACATAATGAACTATTATTTTAAATAAATGTATCTAAAATTTTCCTTTTTAAAATTTGAATAGGATAAGTATCAGTGAACTCGGTCCACATAAACAAGACCTCTTTGGGGTAGTGATAATTTAAAGAGAGTAGGAGGTTCCTTAGAGCACAGAGGTTGAGAACTACTGGAATACATAGTGGTTATCTAGACCAGTGTCTCTTTCCTCCCTTCTTCCTCTCAAGTCCATTGTATGACATTCATGAGAACTGACTTGGCAGACACCACTTACTAATATTGTGGTCTAGGGCAAGCCAGTTAACTTAGTTTTCTCATATAAAATGGGGATAATAGTGTTATCTGTCTCAGGAGCTTGTGGAACAGCTTAAGTATATAAAGAACTTAAATAGTGACCACTCAACAGTGTTGTTCCTAGGAGCAACATGTGTTTCTGTGTTCTTATCTCAAGGTATGTTGTGCTTGAAAGTGACTTTGGTTATAATTATATGACTATGTTCTATCAGAAGGATACTAAAGAGGGGTATCAATAGTTTTTTTTTTAGTGTATTTAGTACAGGGTCTACCTGGTCTCATGACACAGATCAGACTCATAGTGATCCTCCCCACACTTGGGATTGAAACCCAGTCCCTGTGTCTGCCTCAGCAGGTGCTTTAATCCATTGAGCTATCTGGCCCTTTTTTGATTTTTTTTTTTTTTTTTTTTTTTTGCCAACTCCGCCTACCTTGGGGGCGGAGGTGGTGCAACATGTGGTGCCAGGAATCAAATCACAAGATAATTCTTTTTGTTTTTTTCACAGTAGTGGGGATTGAGCTAGGACCCTGAGCTTGCAAGCAGACACTTATTCTACTGAGCTCTCTCTCCAACCCCCATGATGATTCTTAAAATTTGAGTTTGTACTGGTTCATTGTACTGAAAGAAATGGTTAGGAAAACAGACAGGTGAAGATGAGCAAGCAGACAGGGCATTAGGGAATGTTAGGAAGAGTGTCATACATATAGGACATGGAAACTACAAGTATGTGGAGAGCTGTTGATGGAATATTCCCTGAACAGGAAACACTTTCCCCTCAGGGGTAAACTATAATTATCTTATTTAGCCCTGGATCCATTGGCATCCAATTTCTAGATACTCATTCTGTGCTCTACATGGATATATTTCTGTTGGGCTAGTTAAATTCTTGTAACAATATTTACTAAAGTAAAGAGAGAAAATAATAGTGCTTTTGAGTCATGTCTACCATTTCTTCCAGCCCAAGTATAAATTCAGCCCTATACTGTAATTCATTCTAAGAATCAAATCAAAATAAAATTGGATCATTCAAGTATGTGACCTTCACCTGAATCCACCTTAAAATGATGCTTATTTTAAAAAAAGGATAAATTAGAGCATAGGCTTTATGTCATTTTGGTACACTGTTTAATGTCATCTCTTGTTTTATGATGATTTCTTTTTTTTTTAACAGATCATCAGAAACTGGAAAGGGAAGCTAGAATCTGCCGTCTTTTGAAACATCCCAATATTGGTGAGAAAATGTTTTCACTGTATTTTAGTTGTTAATTTAATATGGCATATACTATATTGTATCACAATAAAAATGTTAATTTTAATAACTTAAAACTATTAACAGAGTCCTACCTTTTAGTCTTGCTTACATTTGATTCTTCAATTTTTTAAAGTAAGTTTGTTGGGTTTTTTTTACATTCATTTTTATTCAATCTTTAAAGCAGTAATGGAAAGCAAAAACTTTTGCTATAAATTAATATTAATGTATGGAAATTAAAACACTGTATTGAGTCAATAGACATGCTGTCATCTGTCCGAAAGGAAACTTCTGGTTTAGGGAAAGAACAAAACTGTAATGTAAATATACCTCTTAATAAAGTATTTTACTCTAACCAATATCTATGACATTTCCTGGTTGTCTGCAAAGTGGATCCCTTTATCAAGTACCTTTTAAGTGGTAGTCTTCTCCCTGTGAATAGTGTCTGTGTCTGAAATTTTTTTCATGTGAGGGCTCCAGTCATGCTGCATTGGAGCTCATACTAATGACCTAATTTTAATTTAATTATCCTTTTTGTTATGGTTTGTGTCTAGATATTCCCCCAAAGCCTCATGTAGTCATGAAGATGGCTGAATCTGGAGTTTGTGATTGATCCGTTGTCTAATGCAGGGATTATGGATGTGAATGCTACATCCACCCTAGTGTGGGTAGCCTGCACACAGTGTCAGAGACATAAAGGGTCTTTCTGCTCCCTCCCTTCCTTTGTTCTTGTTGCTTTGGCTGTCTTCTGCTGCTATGAACTGTTGCCCTTGTGCCAGGCCACCCTGGCTTGGAGCCAAGTGATTACAGATGGAAACCTCCACAAACTGTGTGGTAAATAAACCTTTCCTTCCTTAATTCTGGGCCTTGGGTATTTTGATTCAGCAACAAGAGAAAAGCGACCAAGACATTTTTAAGTGCTGTGCTTGTAACTACAGTCGCATTCTGAGGTATTAGGTGTAGGACTTTGTGGCAGTTAAATTGTATTGTCAGCTTGACTGGTTATGAGCCACTGAAGGCAGTGATGAAGTCCTCTGGGTGTGCCTGGGTGGGCTGTGGAACTTTGGATGCTATATCTGGACCTTGGCCCCTTCGACTTCGGTGTTGTTCCCCTGCTCTGCTTCCTACTTGTCCTTAGCCGAGCACCTTGGCTCCATTATCTCTTCTGCCATGACGATTTTGCCTTGAAGCTAATCAGACATGGTCTGAAACCATGAGCCAGAATAAACCCTTCTCTCTTAAATTGTGTGTATCTGGGCCCATGAAAGGGAAAAATGATCACTACTGATTTCATTGTATGGACTGGGGTGGGAGGAGTTAAAATTCAGTACATTGCATTGGCTGAAGAGAAATTGCAATATAACCATTATATTTCTTGCTTGGGGTTAAGACACATGAAATCTTAGTTTAGTGAACTTGTGTTTCCTGTGAAGAAAGATTTTTCCTTGTTCTGTTTCTATCAAGAGCCATCTGTGAAATACAGTTGGGTAATGAAGCTAGCTAGCTTCTTCCATTTCCCCTAGGAATTTGAAGTTAAATACTGTAAACACTTTTAGCTAGAAAAGAACTGTTTTCATTTTGAAGCCACAGGAGGAGAAATCTTACAGAAAGTGAAAGTAATGTATGGTAAGAGTTTCACAGTTTTATGAGCTACACAGAATCACCATGCTATAACAAAGAATGTAGTATTCTTCAGGCATCTAGAGTGGCCACATGTAACTTTGTGGTTACCTCACTTGAGATATTTTTCCATCTGTACAGATTTCAACCGTATAAAAGGAATTAGGGAAACACAAGTCCTTAAAACCCAGTGAGACTCATTTTTAACCACTAGAGAGATTTTTAGTGATTCTGTACCCTAAGTTACATATATAATAGATAAATGTGGACATAGTCTCAAAAGTTATAACATGGAAAAATGCACCTATATCATTCATTTACTCATTAAGTCACTGTCCAGGGTATATAAGGAATGAGGTGTACCACAGGCTCAGGAAGACAGTAAACAAAACAGAGCATATTAGATGGTAATTAATTGAAGGAGGTAGGAAATATGGAACATTAAGGGATTCTAATTTAAAGTCTTTGGCCACATTCTTAAGAAGATGCAGTTTGAGTAAAACCCTAAAAGACGGGAGGAAGCAAGTCGTTTGCCTTTCTAGTGGAGGTAAAACACATTGCAAGGCCAGGAAACAAACAGCGTATGGAATGGCCCCTGCAGTAGCTTTTGAAGTAATTGACAAAGTGAGAGATATTTTAAATTTTACTTTAAGTATTTTAATTGATGGGTTTAATTGATAGATAACCATGTAATGTTATGTGGTAGTTTTTTATTTACCCAAATAAAGAACAATAATTTAAAAACAGCCTCAATAATAGTGATTGCCATAAAATAGTAAGCAGCAACTGACAGGTGATACTATAAGTGGGCCTATAAGTTACTCAGTGTGGGGAAGTAGTTACAAGTAGTTTAGTGAGCAGTGCTGTGTTCCTGTTGGGCTAATCACGCTGGGTAACAGCAGTGGGTAGGACACTAGCATTCACTCCTACTGAGTCGTACCACACAGGGAACACAGCTTTTCATCTAGACTCCCTGAAATGGATAACACAACAGTTATGAAATAAGAGGCCATTATCTTCTACTTCCTTTCCTCTGTTTTATTATTTGCTTCTGTTATTTTATTATTTCCTCTATGTTATTAAGATCTGTTACATTTTGAAACTTCAAAGACAAAGATACTATTTTTGACATTTTTTCCTTCGTGAAAATTTGCTTATTTCATTTTTATGTGCCTGTCTTTTGTCATGGAATTAAGAATTTTGAGAATTTACAGCAAGTAAATGGTTTCTCTCAAGAAACACATTTTTAAACTGACAAAAGTATTAATTTATTAAACTACTTTCAGTGTTATTTTAAAAATACTTTTCTGGGCCAGCCAAATAGCTCAGTGGATTAAAATGACTGCTTAGGCAGAACTCAGTGGCCAGTGTTTGATCCCGGGCTTGTAGTGCCGACCCTGCCCCCAGGGTGTGCTGAGATGGGGATTGAGACTGGGCATGGTGGTGCGCACCTCTAATCCCAGATCTTTGGGAGGCTGAACAGAGGCGGATCACTGTGGAGTCCAATCTACGCAGTGAGACCCTGTAGACCTTGTACAGAAATAAAAAATTCTGATCTTTAAAGTAATATATACACTTGGTGGAAAATGGAGAAAATACACTGTAAGGCATGGAGAAGAAATCAGAGAGCACAGTTTATAACATTTGTTATACATTTTTATATTTTTATAATAAATTTTTTTAGAGAGTGATGCTAATTTTCCTCATTCTCTTGTTTACATTTTGTTGTCCCTTCAGATATATCATTTGATCTCACTTAACCAAATTACTTATGGGTGTAACCATTGGCAGGCCGAGCTTGGGCTGTGCAGACTGATAATGAAGCAGTGATCAAGACACAATAGCTCTCATCCCAGTGCTTTCGCCCTTATGTAGGAGCAAATGAATATCGTAATGATTATGTGAGTAACACTGTGAAGATAATTGAAGTAGGATAATTTCATACCAGACCAGGTGGCTACTGTCAGAAAGAAAGCCAAATACTAGTTAAAAGTGATAAAAACGAATTTTATTCAGCATTATTGCAGTAGGGGGAGAGCAAAGCAAAATTCCAGATATACCAGAGTCTTAGACATCAAGGATGGTGGTGAGGAACTTGAATGGGTGTCAGAAGTTGACAGAGACTTCCATAGTGGATGCTTCACTTTGACTGTCTTATGGAGATTTAAAGTGTAGGAAGGCAGGGCCCAAGTATGAGGCCTGGCGGAAAAGAGGAAGTTTTCTGAAGTTTGTTCACTACAGAGTGGCTTTGCAGGCAAGATGTGACAGTGGAGGTCACATTTAAATTGATATAAAAATGAGGTTAGAAGTCATTATGAAGCCCAGTGAGCAAGTGTTTTGGGCAAGGGGAGCTTCCCTATTGGGAAAGACGGGAGCCCAGAGGACACCTGTTGTGGGTGAGAGTGGCTGAGCCGAGCAGGCCAGATGGAAGTCTAGTCACATGGGCCTTCACAACCCAGGGCAGGGACTTTGGACCTCCTTTCAAGTGCAGTGAGGATCTAGTAGAAGGTGTTCAAGCAAGAATATGTTCTCATCTGCTTGGCTCAGTCTGTTGTGTGCACAGTGATTGTGCACAGCATCAAGGATAATAGTGTCGAGTTCTAAGTCACAGCCTTGTGTGTATTACTATAGTGCCCCTCAGCCACAGCCTCCTAGATAAAACTTTAAGCAGCCCCAGGCTGATTGCCTCAGAGCTGTGTCCCTTGGCTGAACATGATTGAGAATACTGGCCACTTCTCAAATAGCTCAGGTATTTTCTACTCTAGGCTGTTGTTTGTACTCCAGGCTGGAAACTGTAGAGCTGCCATTAAGGTGTTGAAGTAGTTTTGTAGAGAACCTTGTTTTATTTCACTTTTGATTATTCTGTCATCTTTTGAAAAAATAGATTGATTTTTCCTTGATATAAAAAAGTTTGTATAAAGCAAAAATATTGGGCTGTATGTCAACATATATGTTAATTAAAGGCAATCTTTTATATTTGAGATAATAGCTATATTGTTCTCAGAATTCTTTTATATTTGAACTGCTTTTATTCCTTAATTTTCTTTCTTTTAATGTATTTGGTTGTTGCAGGGTCTCACTACACAGCTTAGACTCATGATCTTCTTGCTCTCAGCCTCCACAGAGCTGGATTACAGGCATGTGCCAATATGCTAGGACTCTGTGGTTGGCTCAGCCTGCCCTGGGGACGGGGCTGGTTCCTGGGATCAAACTGTGGTCCCTGTGCTTGCCTAAGCAGGCAGTTTAGTCCACGGAGCCTATCTCCCTGCCCTGGTCCTTAATCTTTATAGGCGTTATTTTAAAGGAATTTATTGAAACCTTTGGTGAAGCCCAAATAACTAAAAACAGTAAAGAGCAACTAG